ACGATATATTGTGATACTAAAATATTTGCAATTTTTAAGATGGAGTTTAATCAGAAAACTCAGATCTCGTAGTTCCGTTTTAGTAAAGGTTGCAAAAACTGCTGCCACCTAAGGGTCGGAGTTTGAATTGCACCATGGAAAAGAAGTACAGTAAATGTTTGCATGTAAGGTCTATTCAATTCAGTATCAAAACACAAAATATCATATCAATTCTGTTTATCAACCTTTTCTTGCTTCCTTAATAATAATCCAAAACAACTGATACCTAGAATACCTTTGTATTGAACAGCAGAGGTTTCCACTCATGGTCAAATCATACTCAGCTCCTTATAGTTGTTAAAGATCCATTTTCACCGGGGGATAGAAGGAGGAATAGGAAGCTATGCAATTAGATGGTTACTTCATATTTAATTCTTCTTCTCTTCAATCACAATGGAGAACAGTTGACACAACATAAGGGTTTCCTTAACAAATAACCAGTCCAGAGTTTTGTAGAGGGAAAAAAAAAACACTAACCAGCTACAGTGGGACTTATGCACAAACCACCACTATTTATCTCCCTCTCTGCCACCAGAAATGGGGAGAAAAGATGACTGGGGGTCTGGTCTCCTGCAGCAGGCTGAGGTTATCCTGCAGATTACTCAGCAGAGGGTTTAGTTGGAAAATGTCTTTTTTCCAAAGAGAAAACAGCAGTAATTTACCGCACACCTCCACTTTAAGTGCTCTAAGCATGATTGGTGGATAAATGCCATGCATGGGGGTTTAAACATTGTTACATATTAATAAATCCTAAGATTTTCTTAAACGTTTATCTCAACACGCCCCTTCCTGACCACTGGATCTGCGTCGACACTCCATCAACGAACCTATGCAGTCTTACATTTAGCCTAGCCAGAATGACTTTTTGGTGAAGTTTTTAGAGTTTTCCGATCGAGAGTGAAGGCACATAATCCTTCAGGTGAACTTAAGGAAGTTCCACAAAACAGATGCTTGCATGATATCAGTGATGTCTTCCACCAGTCTGCTACTAGTTTCTGACATGCTCATCATAAAAGCGGAACCTGCTCTGTTACACCTTCCCATCTAAGACTCTGGGCATACATATGAGTGCCTTCTCGATATGTGGGAAATGTGATAAGCATGCATGGCTGCGTGTGTGTGTCTGTGTGTGTTAATGTTGTCCCCACCAAATCTCAGCTTCACATCTTTTGCCACCCACCCAACAGTAGAGCTGATTCATTATGGTTTGATGACAGACACATCGTGGATGTAGGAGAGGTGAAATAACAAAACAAACAGCCGGGTGGAGGGCGGAGGAGAGAATGTGTGAAGTAAAGGTAAGGAGTAACTGAGCGAATGGGAGAAAACAGACAGACAATGATGAAGAGTAAGGAGAGAAGCGAGCGTGTGAGAAAAGCGGATGGAAGCAGAAACAAATAAAAGTCCGAAGGAGTTCTCTCTCACAAAATTGATTCTGACTGTCGGCCAGGGTGCCTGATGGATATCTGAGACTTGGATGTGAATTTACATGCCAGACAACCACCCCCCACCCCCACCCCACCCCCCCACCCCCACTCGCCCTCAACCTGCTTTGAGTTATAAGCACAACGAGAAAGTGTTGGCGTATTTAGAGGCCAACAACGGCACACGGTGAGTTTCTTTATCCTGGAGAAGGAAAGGAAATATCATTTCAACAGTTGATTAATGACAAGGAAGCTACCATCAGCTGCCACCTCGCCGTGGGGGCACGCCAGGCCCGAATTGGATGAGCGCAAAAGGAAGAAGCAAGGTGCTTAGTTCCCAAACGAGGAGGATTTTTTATTTATTTTTTTGCTTTGGCATGGTGTTTGCTCTTGCAAGTCTCTACACCTCTGATTTCAAAACCCCGCCTTTTCTAAAACTCGCCACAAAGCAAACAAATGGCCTGTTTGGACTGATGCAGGAGGATATTTTGCTGATACTGAAAATTATTTGAAAGAAAAAGACTTGGAATAAACTTTCTCTTGTTTGCCTGGGTTTGCTAAAATAAACTGTTATCCACACTTTATCCCTGGTGTTTGCACTCGACACTATTCTATGTCCCTTAGCAGATAGGACTAAAGTGAGGCAGCTTCAGGAGCACCAACCACAGACACTTTAATTTAGCGCTTTTGTTTTGCCATTCCATGAATGCACACAGTGTCAAAACAATTGGGCGACTCTGTTCATTAAATGAGCGTGTTCATGAGATACGTTAAATAAATCCCGATTCCAAACAGACACTTTGGTCACATTAAACATCCTTCTTTAAAAAACGAACAGACTGTTACTTCGTAGAGAAAAAAAGTTGCACATTCTTCGCTTTAGGAGCAGGATGTAGGCAGATGTCTGCAGTTGGGTAATATTTGTCTGCTCTTACCTGTGTAGGAACTCGTCACTGACTAAATGCATGCCTCTCTCACATCAAGCCTATGCAGAGTGGCCCAGATGCCAGCTTCTGCATGCACCTCATGGAGGCATGTTAGCAACAGATCTTTGCTGGCAGGCAGGGGAGAGAAGCAAATAAAGAATAGCTTTAATGTCTTCTGCCTTTCTTTCTTACCAATCTCTGTTCATGTGAATATGGTCAACAATACAGATGTTTCTGAAATCTATGAGACGGCTGTTTTTAACCCTTGATAGGGCCAACATTTCGATTTAGTTGCCAAGTAAACATGAACAAGTAAATAAATTGTGATTATTCTTAGACAAAATTGATGTCCAAGCTTCACAATGATAATAACAGTTCCCTGCCACGCAGTGAGGTTCATGATTTTTTTTTTCTAAGAAGCATCCTCCTGCCCTGGACTTCTCACAGCTGAACCGGGCATCTCCCGGAGTCTGAGGATGACATCATTGATATTGTCAGCGGTGTAAACTGAGAAAGGACTGGGTGTGAGGGGGACACAGATGCACAGCAGGCATCGGACACTCAAGGACCGTTTATCTGATGCTTTTCCTCGCACTTACGTAAATCCGGTAAAGGAAACTAATAATTTCATCCAGGTATCTCGTCGAGTCTGCTTTAGTCCTCCAAGGCCATTTTATTTGGGTTTGTTCATTTTATTGCTGTTGTTATCTGGACCGGGGGTTCGGGTGGAAGATCCCGGAGGTTAAGAGTCATTCCGAACCGCGTCAGCATGTCGCTGTCCGTGGTTCTGAATGAGACAGAGCTCTTGAGAGCTGGTGAGGAGAGGAGGTGTGGTCGGGCGTGTATGCTGTTTAGTCAAGGTGTGTGTGTGTGCGAGCTCGATTATTCCCTGGTGGAGGGCGCGGTTGCTGAGAGTCATCTGATCTGATCTCTGAATTTCCACCACCTCCTGCTGCATCCTGAGCTTTCTGCAGCATGAAGAACAGTCAAAAATCCAGATTTTTTAAACATGCGGTGACCTCTGGCAAGCTGTGGTCTTTTGGATCTTCGGCTCTTAGCTGATAGCCTGCAGCTAGGACACCGAGACGAGCACGGCAGCACGCCTGGCTGAGATTAGAACCTGTCCAAGGTCCTGAAAGTTCACACGAGAGTGTGTGCAGGTCTTGGCCCAGAGCGGGAGTCCAGCGTCGGTAACAGTCCTTATAATTGAAATTTAACAGAGATCCATGGAATAAGTATCCAATATATAATCTTCTATCATAGGATTATTTGTGGCTTGAGAAATTTTATTAAAACATGTAATTTTGACGTGCAAGAGCGCGGCGCACATCTCATATGAGCTTTGAAATCAATTAAGCCTATCCAGATTTTTCTAGGCCCACCCATTTGCTACGTTCTGGCTCCGCCACTGACATACAGTATATATCCACACATATTATATATATATATATATATATATATATATATATATATATATATATATATATATATATATATATATATATTTTTTAAGTACTTAAAAAATGTAACTTGGCTAATACTGAGTGAAATTGCGTGGAGCTCTATGGTTCAGGGGATGAGCTTAGTGTAAAAATAAAAAGGTTGATTCATTGCCTACATTCAATCACAGTACATTACTTTTTTTTACAGATTTCTAAAAAAATTCATACATAATTTCTAAAAGGGGAAAACTCTGAATTGCATATGTAATGAAACAGAAATTAAAAATCAGCTTCTAATGGGGCACATTTAGGTCACAATGTCAGACTTGTTTTTCTCCCCATCAGAGACAGGAAGTAGAAGTAGTAAGGTGCCGACAGAGAGCAGGTTATAAATGCCTGTTCATCACTTTATGACATTTTCTACCAGAACTTGACAACTTTACTTTAAAAAGATAATCATCAGCACCACTAAAACCACTCAATGATCATTCAGTTGTTAATTTCAGGACCGTAAACTCAGAATATAAAATGATGAACAGTAAAAATCCCGTTTTCATCAATGGGATGTGAACTTTGAGCTAAGAGTAAACGTTTGGATTATCATCCAGCAGCACCCAGAGGAGGAACGGAAACAATTCGTTTGACCTTTTATCTTCTGTTTAACATCCCAGTGACCCTCATGTCTCTACAAGCTACGCTGCCTGGAAAAATACCACATTTCTTCAAGAGAATTCTGATCTTGGCCTTTTTTAGTAAGTTTAATAAATGCCATTAGAATAATTATCCAAAACGATCATTTAAATGGTAAATGGCCTGTATCTGTACAGTGCCTTCTTAGGGTTCTACAACCCCCCCAAGGTGCTTCACAACACAATCAGCAATTCACCCATTCACACACACATTCACAGTCTGGTGGTGATGAGATACGATGTAGCCTCAGCTGCCCTGGAGCGCACTGACAGAGGACTGACGCCACCGGTCCCTCCGACCACCACCAGCAGGCGAGGCGGGTTAAGTGTCTTGCCCAAGGACACAACAGCAGCATTCTCTAGTCGGAGCCAGGATCAAACCTGGACAAACCCCCATGGTGTTTGTTTTGGGTCATGGTTTTACTGTGATGGGAATAGTGAACGCGTCAGCACGTGTTGGGTCGTTATTCCAGTACTCACCCACGTTGCCGGTGCGTACGTAGAGCAGGCCTCTGATAATGGTTTGAACAGTCATCGGGCCGGATGCTGAGGGTCGACCCAAATCTGTATCAGTCAGTAAGGTGTCCTGTCCTACATAATCCGTGGTCAGAACTTCCAACTCATGCAGGGCCTGCACTGCAGATTTACCCTGACGCAGCATGTACTGGAGACGGAAAACAGGACCAAGGATGTCAGAATTCACAAAATATGCAATTAAGAAAAAATAATGCATTCCCAGTGATAGAAATGTGCTATTTGGGCCCAAACATGTTATTCAGAAATCAGTTTTGTATTGACAGCCGTCAGAAGCAGCTACTGCGTTGACTTCAGAGTCGTTTACCTTGAGCTCGACAGCAGTGGAGCCAATGAGCAGCAGTGAGTCGCTGTCCCAAATGTCGATGTGCATGGTGTGAAGGGCCAGATAGCGAAGAAACCAGGGCTTCTCCCCTGGCCTCAGGAAGCTACCATCTACTCTGAACTGCATCTGCAGACCTGGAGAACCTTTGAAAAATGAGAGAGGAGATTTCTGATTATTCTTCCATCAATAAAAAGACAAAAAAATAGTTTTCATGAAGCCTAAAATGATAGTAATAATATGGATTCAAATCACTGTGATAAAGAGTACATGTCCACATTAGATGCAATAGTGTAAGACTTAAAGCTAAAGATGTTTTCAATCCCAGGAAATAGTCATAATGTTGTGGCTCATCTGTTATCCCATTTCTGAACTGGTGCAGTGGCCATCAGCTGAGATTCATTAGGCCTGATGACTATGAGGAATGAGAGAAGGAAAACCTGAAAACACGAGACCATCACACTAATTTCGATTCACCCCAAGGCCCCAAACAGTGAACCGACCACCCAATGTTTCAGAATGGTTTATTGTTTTTAATGATCTCTTTTTGATCATTATTGAGTTTGGTTTTTTCTCATGCTTTTTCTATTTCCTTAGGTCATTTTCTTCTCTGCATTTGACCAATCCATACACCAGTCAGGTAGCCTAGGAATCCAGACCATCAGTTTGCCGAAGCAAAAGTATGGTCTAGCCACACTCCATCAGAACCTCCGCAGCCCGGGCCAGTCTGGTGCCGGGCCAACCACAGCACTCTATCAGTTTGGTTTGCGTCTTCGTCAACAATGTTTGGTGGACTGGCCCATTCACTGACATCCGTAGTGGTCCAGTCATAGCGCTCTATTGGTTTGGTGGGCCAATCACAGCACTCTGTTGGTGGGTGGGATGTTACTGTGATTGAATTTTGAACTATTTAGACTTGGGCTTTTCTTTAAGTCAAGAGCAGATAGCTGTACTTACGTCCTTTATTTAGAAATATTATGTATATGTGTCTTCTTTGAGCTAATATGGCGGACTGCCTCGCTGACCATAGCGGTGAGTATGTCACGTTGTTTGTTATCCAACAGGATGCGGGGACAGTGAGAGTGAGCTGTCAATGAGCCGTGTCCATCATATATATATATATATATATATGTATATATATATATATATATATATGTATATATATAGATAGATAGATAGATAGATAGATAGATAGATAGATATGTGTGTTTATATATATATATATATATATATATATATATATATATATATATATATATATATATATATATATACATATATATATATATATATATATATATATAAACACTCCACGTCGAGAGGAGCCAGTTGAGGTGGCTCAGGCTTCTGGTCAGGATGCTTCCTGGCCGCCTCTCTGGTGAGGTTTTCCGGGCATGTCCAACTGGGAGGAGACCCAAGGGAAGACCAAGGACACGCTGGAGGGACTATGTCTCTCAGCTGGCCAGGGAACGCCTTCGGATTCTCCCGGAGAAGCTGGCCCAAGTAGCTAAGGAGAGATATGTTTGGGCCTCTCGGCTCCGGCTGCTGCTCCTGCGACCCGACTCCAGATAAGTGGCTGAAAATGGATGGATATTTATTTTTTTGTTGTATTTTTTATTGTGATTTTCTTTGTGTAGCACTTTATGATTTAAATCTATTCGGTATAAATGCTCAGTGACAACATGAGAAAGTGAAGTGGATGCACAAAATTGTCCTAGTAACGTCCAAACTTTAAATGCACCTTTCAAAGCAGATCCCATGAGTGATTTCCCTTGAATAATTTAATTTGTACAGTATGCAAAGAGCAGCTAATTAAAACCAACTAGCATGAGTGAGAATCCAAGATGTGACTTCACCAACTGGACTTCTCCTGCAGCTCTTTGTCGAATCCCGTTTCCTTTCAGTACTCCCCAAAACAGAAACCACAAAGGAGCAGCCATCTGAATAGAAGACAAGTAATGAGGCTCTTTGATGGGAAGTTGACTCCACACATGAGTACAAGGCAAACATCTTCTTTACAATCACACAAATTGCTATGGTGCATTCAAGTCTGCATGGAGGTTTATTGAGTTAAAATCTTTATTATAGCTTCTGAAAAACAAGTGTGCATTTTTGTCATTGGTAACAATATGATCTTTACAGCTTCACAACTGTCTCATGCTGTCTCTTTTTTAGCATTGCATGTTTACCATCTCTGGATGGAGCTCAGAGTTCTTTGATCTTCCTCCTGGTGTTAAAAGACATCACTGTAACTGCCTTTGGCCTCATTTTCATGCTGATATTTTCTGCTTCTGTGAGATGAGGTTGACATCACAGAACAGGCAGTGAAATCACCTTTGTGTATACATGTTATAGAAATTAGATAGACTTAATTTTCCATGCCTGAAACCATAAATGTGGTGGATTCATGGGAGAAGTCACAAAGAACCACAAACACCAACTAAGACTAATTACGTTGAACCTGTTTGAGATGAAAAAGAAAGCTTTGTTGCATTTTCTGCAACTACAAGTTGATAATGGATTTTTTTCTTTAACATTCTAAACATCCCTAGTTTATTCGTCATATTTCACTCAAGTGATGGCAAGAAAATACAAACAACATTTATGAGCGGGGTTCCAAAACCTCTAGTAAAACATTGGCTGGCAAAAAAATAAGTAGCCACCAAATTAAATGTCACACGCTCCAAAATTTGGTTGAACCGTCCTTAGCATTGATTACGGCACACATTCACTGTGGCATTGTTTCGATAAACTTCTGCAACATCACAAGATTTATTTCCATCCAGTGTCGCACAGATTTTTTACCAAGATCTTGCATTGATGATGGTAGTATGACCACTGCACAAAACCTTCCCCTGCCACTGTCACCCCAGGGAAAACTACAAACAACTTAGCTAAATTGCAACATGTAACTGAAATGGGTAATTTTACCGGACATTTGAGGTATGCGTGTGTCTCCATGTCACCGGGCCGTCGATAACCTGGATTGGGGCACGTCCTCAAAAATGCATGGTAGAGTCGCTGAGCGGGACTTGCTAAGCTGGAAATGACATCAGCAGACGTCGCCAAATAACCGGTATTTGTAAACTTGGAACAGTTGCTGGTGAAACGGAATGCAAGAAAAAGAAACTAAGCAGTGTTGATGCTGCTTTGAAATCGTTTCTAATCTCCAAACAGCAAAAATGCAGTGAAGACCCCCCCCCCACCTCCCAAAACCCCATAATTCACAACATTTTGTGGTCTCCTGTAGAACGCCATAAAATACTGCATTTCTTTTGGTCACTGAATGCCACTTTTTACGTCTGACAGCTGCTCTCTTCGGCCCCCAAACGGTAACAATTACAGTGTAGCTACTCTGACACAATAGAACATTTTTAGTTTGTTAATTCTCGTGGATGCCTTTTGGTGTTAATTAGTGACATCACTCAAAAATGGTGATATTTTAGCAAAGTCCTGAAAGGACCAATTTTTTTAGGAGACACAACAGCTGAAAGGACCAAGCCATAATTTCCCTGTCACCTTCACCCCTCGAAGAAGTTTCCCAGAAATTCTAAATTGGAAATGCGGCTATTGAGTCTCCAAGTCAAAACTTGCATCTTTTCCTCACAATCGTGAGTCTACAAACAGCCGCCAACAGTTACAACCCAGTGAGATACTCGCTTGCATGGCACACAAGCTCTGCATGCACAAAACAAAATAAATGAAGAACTAAAAATTATTGTGTCAGTAGGATCCATTTGCTCTCTGCAGAAGCCTTCCTTCCTCTGACCGTTTCTGCAGCCTTATCTCTTTTTCTCTTGTTGGACGAAATAACCAAGGGGTTACAGTTCAGCTGTGAACCTTGAAACAGTCTCACTTCTACATAAAGGAATGATAACACAATAAATAAATACATATTTTGTGTTTATTCACAAAAAACAGTCATGCTTTTAGTCAAGATGTATTAAAAGTAGATGAATCCTTCCATAGTGATTCAACATGTGAAAGTGAAGGATGTGGGTGAATGACTGAGTGTTTAAAGAGCTTTGGACTCTTTAGACTTGCCAAAGCTCTGAACGTGCAGCTAATTACTTTCACACAAAGGGCAACTATATATAACTAGGTTTACTTCATTTGTGTCATGCAGTAAAATATAAAACTTCATTTTGGTCTTTAGCTGAAGCAATCATGTCCTAAAGTTATGTCACTTCCCCATGAGGAAGTTAAATCCTGAAGTGGTTTTTACTTCCTTATTAATTAAATTCAAGTGAATTTAGTAAATGTTTTCTTGTGATGGTTCTTTGTTAATTAACACAACATAAAATGGTTAAAAAAAATTCATCAATCAGTGTTTTTCAGAACCTTAAGTTTAAAAACAGATGTTTGATGTCTGGATTGATTGGATGTTAGCAGCTAGCTAAAGTTAGCTCCTCAGCAAAAAGTCTAAATTCTAGTGTTTAGCTGACGCTGTTGCCTTAGTAAAATGTGTACTAGCTTCTAATGGAAAGCACATGGGTATTTGTTTGGCTGTTTGATGAGGTATTCAACCAGACGGATCATCTTACTGATATATATGAACATCTAACCAGAATCTGGAAGTCAAAACCAGAAAAACAAACCATCCAGTATTAACGACCAAGTTCACTAAGAAACCATTTTTTACGTATTATTTTAAAATATAATCAATCACTGAGTTTTTCATGCAGGCTCAACATGAAAATAGTCTCCTACACCAATCTCCTGCATTCGCTTCTGATAGAAAATAGATGTTGAAACTCTAGGATTTGAAAAGACTGACAGTGTGACATCACACGGTTACTTAACACTGACGGACTGAACCATCTTGACTCATAACGGGGAAGACTGTTGTTGGTTTAGCATCCAGGAAACAGCAGAGAACATCTAATATAGTAGAAGCTAACTGTTAGCATTAGCAATGCCACTACATGGCAGAACTCCTCCAGGCTTGTGTTTTTTGATTAGATGAAACATCAATTTTGCTAAGTAAATTGAGTCCGTGATAGAGTCATATTGCTGTTAGCCAATCAGAGGTGAGAGGTCCAAATATCAGGAAACAAGACTCAAAATCCTGCCGTCTGAATCTCTCCTCTGATCTGGCAATCTTCTAGATCCTGAAGCAGCACCAGGGCTTTTTGTACCCTGAGTA